AAACTCCCAAAATAAGAGAAATTAAATATCTTGAACAGGAATCTGTAACTCATAAACTGAATTTGAATCGAGTACCTTTACAACGGAACCCATTTTCCGTTCTTCGCTTCTCTCAGGGAGCTCTAAAACCCTCTTATATCTACGCTCTCACGTTTACTCGCGGTTTTTTTGACAATGTGTTATTTTTAGAAGGACAAAGTTAACCTTCCCTTCAATACCGGGAAACTGTCTCTCTCCTGTCATGGGCGGCTTTCCAGCCATGCCCCATGACCTCTTGGGCGCGTCCCGTGGCGTCCTAGCGAACCTCCCAATGCCTAGCGCCACGGACGACCCCGTGGTCTTGGCCGCGCCAAGTGACAAGCGCGCAGGTGCCTCTGTCGCCCCACCGATATCCCTCGCGAGCGTCAAGTCGCAGGCAGAAGCCAACAGCGCCGCGCGTGCAGACAACGCCGCGCGCGCAGACCGTGATGCCAAAGACACTGCTGTTGACAACGGACCTGCTGCTGCCTTATAGAAAACTAAGTCATTTTCATTGTAAATATAGAGTAGTTTTATTTCATGTACTTCCATTATGTTTCTCTAGCTTAGTCAAGTCTAGTCTTGTAACTTTGGATTATTTTTTTAAGTACTATTAGGGGGGATCAAGCAATCAAAACTTTCTAGCAAGCAAGCAATTCTCTGTACTGGTGTCTCACCCCCTCGACACCGCGTTGCTTTTCTGTAATAGCTTTCATTAATGCAATCAAGCTTTCTTTCATTCTGAATTCTCACTTCGGTTCTCTCAACTGCTCTTGACATTGGTTTTCCCGTACGGCACTGACAATCTCGTCTAGCGTACGGAGGGAACCTCAGTTGGCGGACAGCAACTGCACTGACATCAGTTGCCTAGCCTTACGTCGCCCTTCCAAGGAATCTCAGGAAGGCGCCGCGTAACAGTTGGTATCAGAGCATAGGCTCGACATCGGACGAGGGAACGTATTGACATACCACCATTTCTGACCATGGTGAATCATGGGGACCGCATTGCGACCCTCGAAGGGACGGTTGAGGTATTGCGGCCTATTGTGGATACGGTGCCTGAACTAAGAACCAGCCTACTGCAAAGGTTGGACGACCTGGACCGCAGGGTGCTTCAGGTCGAAGTTGACATTGAAAACATCAGTCGCGACTCCGAGGGAGACCGGCAGACGGCAGCCACAGAGGCAGCCGAAATCTTTGAGAAATTCGAGGGGCTCCAACAGGAGCGCACCGAGGATTTAGCCCACAGGGCACAAGAGGCAGAAAAGGTGACTGCCATGCAACAAACCATTGACAAATTGACAGACCAACTCAATGTTGTCAACGCTGCTTTACAGGGCCTACTCCGAGGAGGTGGAAACCAAATCGGAGGTGCTGTGAACTCCGCTTCCGCGACAAAGAAACTGAAAATTCCTGAGCCAAAGCCATACAGTGGAGCTAGGAATGCCAAGGAAGTGGAAAACTTCATCTTTGACGTCGAACAGTATTTCGATGCTGTTGGGGATCTGGAGGAAGCTAAGAAGGTAGCAACTGCTGCCATGTATCTTCAGGGTGATGCTAAACTCT